CAAGTCTTTTGCATTGCTGGGATTCATTCAGGAGTGTAAGGAGAGCTGAAGAATGTTCCATTCCCTAGCCTCATATACATTAACAGTCAGTCAATGCTTATACATATAATGTATTCTGAATGAAATGTGTAATTATTTTCTATGACAAGGGAACATCTGAATTGAGGTAAATAAATTATGATTATATATCCCAACAGTAATCTCTCCTATCTCTGTTTTCGCTCTCATTTCCATTTTTTATTAACCTCTTACCGTATGTTGCAGCTGGGTGGCCATACATTAGTTAGTATAGACAATACTGTCCGGAAAGAGAACTTATAAAGTTTCTCTTATAAAGATAAATCGGAGGAGTGAGATTTTCAAATACACAAATTATTTTCTAAGCCCCAGCTTCCATTGTATTGGTCAAATGATTTGGGAATTCTTTTCTGATGTTAAATTTCTTTATAGAAGGGTAAGTGCATTGTCAGCTTTAAATAAGTATAAATCCAGGTATTCAATCTTGAGTTTTGTTTATAGCAATGTGTATGTGTATAGATAGATAGATAGATAGATAGATAGATAGATAGATAGATGAGTGTGTGTGTGTGTATTATTTCTCAGTCGCTGAGAAGAAAATTCAGCCCTGTGCTATATTCAGAATTTAAGATTATTAAGCAATATAATCCAGGAAAGAAACAAAATGAAACTGAAGGGATTGCATTGATAGGACACCTTTGAATAAAGCTAATGAACAAAACAGACCCTGAGACTTGGAAAGGAGTAAGGTTCAGACTGACAAACCTCAGAGGAAAAGGGCGGGGGAGAGATGAGATAAACGAAAGAACTACTATGCCTGCATGGGTAACCAGTGGACAGAGACAACAATGCTGGGGGGCGGGATGGGGAGGAGGGTGTCTGCAGGGGAAAAAGGAGAAACATCTGTAACAAAAATAAATTGATAGTAATAAAACAGCAACCAGTCAGGAAAAATCTATTATATTATTATTTTAATTTCAAGCATCCAGATCGAATTTTAGTGAAGAAATAAACTGGAGATTGTAGATGGGCATGAGAATGCAAAATGGCTTATGGAAGGGAGAGAAAAAAACAAGAAAATATTCTGCCTAGATTTGGCAATGGTAGTTATACTTGTTTTTTCTTAATGATGAAAGCAAGCAGTTTGCGATTCAGCCCCTGGGCGGCCCTACACTTATCACCAGCCTCATGTTTCAGAACACCCCCAGGCTGTCCTGTAATTACCTGAAATATGCTAAATCTCTGTGACCAAGGTGTGTTTCATCCTTTCTGTGGTCAGATTAGCTAGTCTGCGATGAACCTGAATATATTTCAGCTACAGATGTTGGTAATTTTCCCAGGTCAAGGCAGTGCATCTTCTATTTCAAAGTTATTTTATAGGAAATGAAGCATCCGTTTGAATCCAGAGGAAATGGATTGTTTTACTTTATCAGGTTTACAGGAGATATCAGACAAATTGTGGCCATTTTCACCTTTTATATTTGGTGGAGAAAAGACTGTTACCTTTTTCAGATGTGATGGGAGAAAGATAAAACTCCTTCCTTCCTTCCTTCCTTCCTTCCTTCCTTCCTTCCTTCCTTCCTTCCTTCCTTCCTTCCTTCCTTCCTTCCTTCCTTCCTTCCTTCCTTCCACTATAGTGTATATTAAGGTTATCCTGAGATAAGATACCTAGTGGTTAGAAAGGGACTATCTATTTCCTATTCCAAATATTCTAACAGCTTTTGTTATATGAGAAACACCTGGGACAGAGGGGACCCCATAGAGTTCTTCCAGGGACAGTTTTTGTAACTGATATGAAAAGGTCATGTTCTAACTTTTGTCTTTTATTTGTCATTGTAAATAGGCATTAAATTAGCATCCCAGCATTAGTAAATTTCTCCTCTCTGTGTTTATGGAATTACTGACAGTGAAGAAGGGGCACAAGAACTGTTCCCTTCACCTGCTCAGCTTCACTTTGGTGGAAAACGAAGGATGACGTTTACGCACATTCACCTGGGGCAGAGCCAGCATCACAGACATGCAGAGCATCACAAAAGGCTTGGACTTGGTTTAATGCCTGCTGTCACCATTTTGGAACTCTTCATAATGTATGAACAAGAGGCTCTGCATTTTCATTTTGCAATAAGCCCTGCAAATTATTTTTCAGGTCCTGCCCATGTAACATTTGTTCTTCTTGGCTGTGTTGGTCTGTCATTGCCTCCAATCGAATGTGGACATGTCCACTCTCTCTTCAAATCAAAGAAATGCTCCAATAAGAAACTTTTGTTGATGTTAACTAAATGCTTTTGCAATTAACTGCTACAGTGCTGTTTCCTATGGCAGGTTTATGACATTGATTTTTAATAAAACTGTGAAAAGTACCCAAGTAGATTTCCAATAATACAATTCTTTCTTTGGTGGGTTTATTGTTGTTGTTCGTGTTTTCGGCTAATTAATTCAAAGTTGGTAGTTCTGGTTTTCTGCTTTGTTATTTTTTAAGATTGTTGAGTATACTCTTATGTTTAAAGTAAAATTTGAGAAAAATTGAAATTGAAATGTTATTTTTTTCATTTTTACCTTGGCTAGTAAGCAGCTTTTTGCCTAAGCCTGAGTACCCTCTAAGTTCTAAATTGAGGCATTTGCTTTGGAAACAAATCCTGCTGTGGCTAGGTAAAATATTTCACCTGGAACTACATGGAATTAAAAATGATGGCACTCAAACTCCTGCTATTAATCACTGCTGAATACAGTTTCTGCCGCTCTGGTCCACCCACTCCGCTCTCCAGGGGTCTCCTTTGTGACTCCAAGGTAAACGGAGCTTCCATTTCTCTTGAGAGAAGCCCCGAGTGTTTGCTCATTGGCTTTTAAAGCTAGGTCCCAAAGCTTTACTCTTTACACATATTGAAAAAAAATTTTTTTCAAAGGGCCACGTTTCTTTGTTCTCGTCCAAGCCCACAATTAGCTGACGTTCCATTCTGTGCCGCTCCAAGGAGGAGGAAGGGGGGGGCCCAGCAGGCATTTTACTGCCTGTGAGAAAGTGCCCCTCCACGTTTCTTTGTCCTCTGTCAGGTCGGCTGCCTCCCTAATTGCACGGCTGTAGGGACGCACGTGCCTTTGGGAGCATTATCTGATTCCCACAGGACGTTAGAAGTGCTTTATATACTGACCCTTCGCCTGAACACATGGAGTATCTTTGCAATCCCCTTCCCAGGCTCTCGCCACAGGTTTGGAAACCTAACAGCTTTAATTTAGTCAGGGGTGTGGACACATTTGTATGGGCCTCAGGTTGTATTTTTTTTCCTCCCGTAGTTGTCTTACCTACAGTGTTGCTGCACCTGTCACTCGGGGAAGCTGAAGGTGGAGGGGAGGGGAGGAATAGGAGATTTAGAAGTCAGAGGAGAGGAGGCGAGACAAACAGCTGCTCTTGTCAGCATGGGGATAAGTGTAAAGAGATTAATAGTTATTTGAAGAGCACATGGGGACGTGGCATTCGGCAGTGGAATGTGAATGTATAAATGTAATGGAATGAGCAGGCGACCGTTAACATTTAGACAGATGCTCCCTGGACTGAATGGAATGGCAGAGTCCATTTCTGCTCATGTGAAGTGGAATCCATGATTTAGTAAAATACTTTTATGAATCATCACATTTAATTCAATCTTTTTAAAAGCACCTGTTTTTAGGTGAGTTTGTTCTCCATCATCTAACTTGTCTGGGACTCTCAGAACTGTACGAGATGGGGCAAAAGTAGGTTCACAGTTGTGAGTATGTGAGACTCTTGTATTATCATTTATTAATTACTGCATTTGCCATACGAACTGTACATCTACTATTGCCCCACCCTGTATTTCTGCGGCAGAAACAGACAAGCCATTACCTTTATAAACAGGTACCACGGAACCACAGAACTGCCTTGTCTTCTTGCTTTTGCTTTGGTTTCCCTTCATCACCTGGTAGAAACTGAGATTTCCACGCATCAGAGGGTCTCACAGAGGGAAAACGGCACAAGGGGCCCCTCTGGTAACATGTTAAATTGGCTCAGGTTTAGGAGTGACTTGAATGGTCTGAGGGGCTGCCGGCTGTGATGGTGCAGGTGGGGCCCTGGACTCCCCATTCTTGGCTCATTAGCCGATGCTTGAGAAAAGCGCTTCCTTCTCTGACAGTAATAGTGGTGTTTTCTTGCAGATGAAGCAAGAAGAAATTAATTCATTCTTTCCTCCTCTGTGCTTAGCTCTGTTCACATAAACGCATCTGGCAAAAGAGCTACATGAACTAATATACTTCTGAATTATATCAAATTTAGAATTTAATTATAACTGTGTGGTACTCCTCTTACACATGTTCCGCTCATAAAGAATAAACAGCTAGAAAATGAAACAACAGATAAAAATTAGGCTGTGTTTGGGTGATATACTGTCATGTTACTTTTTAAAATATATAATTGGCTCTCTAATCCTGCTACCCAGGCCCCTTCAGTCTTTATGGAACTAGCCCTTGGGGAACCTGCATACTCTGGGACACGTTTAGAATTATAAAACCATATAAAGTATATGCCCCAACTACAATAATTTGATGCTTAAATCCCCTTGAGAACACATCTACCCAGTGGTCTTTCTCATAAAAAAAAAAAAAAAAAAAAAAAAAAAGGAAGAGCAGGTGATATGCAATTACTTGAAAGAATTCCTAAGCAGCTACTCAGTACTGGACACTTTTTGCCCCATTTGTGAATAATTCTACTTTCAAATGCTCTTGAGAGGACCAGAGGACCAGAGTCTCCAAAGGGTGCATGTAAGAGCCATGTGGTCTGCGCAGGTCATTAAGATACACACTCATGCCTGAGGCTTCTCTGGTTTCTAGTTGTGTGACACCAATGGGATGCTTTCCCTCTGATGTTAGGGACCTGAGGTCAGACTCTGTAGAGTGCATGCACCACGCGATGCCGTTTTTGAAGCAATGCTCTGCTGCATAAATGGCTAACGTTGGGGTTTCTGGATGTCCTGCAGCCACAGTACACGAACCTGGGGCTCTTGAACAGCATGGACCAGCAGATTCAGAACGGCTCCTCGTCCACCAGCCCCTACAACACAGACCACGCGCAGAACAGCGTCACGGCGCCCTCGCCCTATGCGCAGCCCAGCTCCACCTTCGACGCCCTCTCGCCCTCGCCCGCCATCCCCTCCAACACCGACTACCCGGGCCCGCACAGCTTCGACGTGTCCTTCCAACAGTCCAGCACCGCCAAGTCAGCCACCTGGACGGTAAGAGCGCTGGGAGCCAAGAGATGGGCCATTGAACGTGACCCCAAGTGCAGGGGTCATCTTTAACACCCCCAGGGGCTTCTGCCCCTTCAAAGCTGAGAGATCCATATTGCACCGTGGAAAACATCTTCCTGTCCTCTAAGGACATTTTGTTATTGACTATTTAATACTGAACCAGGGGCCAAAATAAAAGTGCCATTTAGTGGGAAAAGCCCCGATCTGGGAACAGGCCTGTGTTCTGGCTGGCTCCTAGAAATTTCAGCCTAGGTGTTCTTGCCTGATTCAGGCTGTTGGGAGGTCCATTGTGTGACAGTTTTTGAAAAATGTGACACATTATGCCAACGAGAATTATTATAATCATAGGTTATGTGTTTGCAATCCCCAGAATGGGGGATAGTTACCACGTTCATTATTTCAAAAATAAAAAATAAACATTAGGGTGTGATTTTTAAAACAATGAATAAAATCACAAATACAGCATCCCTAACAAGAAATTAAAATTTCATTGATTAAGGAAGGGCTACATTTGTTTATACACGTAGGTTCTATAACAGGGATTACAATTTATTGATACATATGTATTTATTACCTAGAAAAAATTTTTTTCGAAGAGAAGCCTCTAAAAGTATATATTGGAGCCCTGAATTAGTCCAAAAGTATTATGATTTAAAAAGTTGGGGAAAGAAAAGAAAACCTTTCCATGTATAACTTTGCTAAGAAAACATGGAAATATTTTCAAAAATTCAAAAGGTACAAGAATGTTCGAAGTTTATTTTGTAATGGAGTGTAATATGAACAAAGCACAAATATAAGGGAGGGACCTATAAGACTGGTTTTAACTAGTTGATCAAAGAATGCCCAAGACCAAAGTGGCATGCATGTTTGTCAAACAATTGAATGTTTGCATAGATTATAGAAATGCTTCCAAATATCATCATCTTGCTGAGAAGTAGCCTTAGAATTGTTTTAACAGTGCCCACCCAACCCCCCCTGGCAAATACGTTTCTTTGGAAAAGCCCTCTCTGTGTGTGCTGCAGTATCCAGCTCACTGCAGGCTTCAATCCAGGTGAACGGAGTTTGTGAAATTATCTGCATTCATAACACTACATTCCAACATAATTTCACAGGTGTTCTCATTTTGACCTCACTTCTTTGTGAGCCAAGTAGGACACGTTTTATAACTCCCATTTTGCTGGGGAGGAAAGCAGAAGAATGTGGGGGTTGGCTGACATCCCTCAACTCACCGAGGCATTTGCGCAGCCGGACCTGTTTCGGAGTCCGCCCTCCCCGTCTAGATCATGTCCCTTCTTTCTTCATCATTTCACATCAGGATGTCCCAAAACTGTCTACAAAATTATTTCCGTGCTTTCCTTTCACGGTTTGAGAAGCGGTTCTGTCATGGTTCATATTTCAACCATAATGTCTAAGTAGTAGCTTAAAACTTGATCTCTCCCTTGTGTGTTATTTATCAATTGTGTCAAACTCTTTAGTCTCTTTTATAGTAGTAATCCTGGAGATGGACATGAAAGGTGAGTAAACTTCGAGTCCATAGACCTTAAATAAATATCGGTTGATCAATCCAAGTGACCTTTGGCTGAAGAACCAATGGAATAACCGTTTTATAAATAGAGCACTCATGTGTTTCAGAAGGAGACTTACCAGCTGGACATTTGCATCACTGTTGTTCAAGGCTAATGGTTTCTCGTTCGCATACTCTGGCAGAGGTCCACTGTGTTAAGAGAGCACATCTGAAAGGATGATGGGCATATTGGGCCGCTTCCGGACCAATCACTTCTGTTCTAAAATGGTTTGAGAACCACAGGGATGGAGTTTGATACAGGCCCAACATTATATCAATCTTCCGACCTCTTCCCGTCCTCACCACCTCCTCACACAGAAGTCTTAAGGCTTTTTTCTTTTCAGATTTAGCACAATCCTCAGTCATCTCCCGTTACAACCCCTCTCTCATGGAAGTAAGTTGTTTCACAAAAAAAGGTTGGCGATTTCTACCTAAATGGTAGGTTGAAAAGAAAAGAAAATGTTTTGTGGAGCACATTGGGAGAATTTCCTGACATGTGGCAAAGGTGAAGTCAGTGCCCCGAGAAGCGGGTAGGCACGGTGGTCATGGGCACCGAGCTCTGGTCGGGAGCCAGAAAACCAGAATTCTTGTCTGGATCATCTTTGTGACCTTAGCCAAGTCACTTCACCTTTCTGGAGTTCAGTCTGTGCCTCCGATGAGGATAGTAATGAGTACTGTGAATGTACTTTATGCAGTAAATATTCAGTTAAAAATTGTTAAAATGATACATTAGATACACAATGTCTTTTCCACAATTTAAAAAACAAACAAAAAACGTGAGGCTGGAAAAGCTGGGAACTGACTTCTTGGGTACATGACCCATAAATTCCTTTTTTTGTTGTTTAAAAAAGGGAATAAAAGAATGAGTATGGTGAGAACTGCTCTCTTCCCTTAAGGTGAGATAGTATTAACAATCAGCCAAAACTGTTTGGAAGGGCTTGAGCTCTAGTGAGGTCTTTGGCCTGCCATTAATGAGTGATGTTGCTTAAGCAGTTATGTCTTCCCTGGGTTTCTGTTCAGTGGTCTGATTTTACAGAATAAGGTGATTGAATCAGGTATCTCTTCTTTCCTACTAGTATATCACATGGTGCTTATATTTTTACTAAGCTATTTCTTGTTCACAGTCAAGTTTATTTTAGGCCAAGTTACATTTCTTCTGAATCTAGGGCTCTTTAACCTTTATCTGGGCTGCTGCTAAAATCACCTAAAAGATATAAGTTCTCAACCTTGCACCCCAGTGTCTCGTATATAGCAGCATCTAACGCTTTCCGTCAAATTATATATCCTCGCATTTATACATAGACCTCACATTCTCAAAGTGTTTTCTTATATGTTTATCTTATTTGAGACTCATAACCAAGACTCGTAAGACTGAGGCTGTTATCCCCAGTCTTATAAATGAGGAAAGATCAAGAAGCAACAGTTACATGGCTAAAACCAGCCAAAGGGGGAGAGAACCCAGGGCCCCACACCCCCAGGTCCAAACCCTCCACTATCCCAGCTCGACTGTGCACCCTCTGGATTAACAGAGACAGGAATGTACAGGGGCAAGTAGGCCCTGTGGAGTATGGAGCTGAAGCCCAAAGGATGGAGGAGCTTTTTATGCCATATTACACAACAACTATTTCTCAGGCATCTGTGCCCTTTGAAGCAATTTTTCCAAATGAAATACTGTGTTTTAAAACTGCTCACAAACTAGAAGCAGCAGAAGCCGCTTTCATTAGAAAGAGGCCACACTAATTGCATAGTGTTCTGCTGATACTTGAATAAACATCTTTTTAGTATCACTTTATCACTTGTCATCCTTCCTTGTCGGGTTCTCTTTTTAATTTCTGGTTTACTTAGGATTACTGCCAAAATATAATTAATATATGTAAAGTATATATGCATATTTTCTTTGCTTTTTCTGTGTTTTAAATAACAAATGTGATTGTGTTTCCAGTTCATAAAAATATGGTATTTATTTTAAACTTCTTCCAATGAAATAAGTAAAGTATGATAACATTCCACACACACACACACACACACACACACACACACACACATCAACACTGAATTTAGGATTTAGTTTCAGACTGTCTTCTTATGTCTACAATGTAATTGCCACTAGTTATCAAGGCATACAATTTAATTTAATGGTCTAGTATTGTAGCCAGAAATCATCAGTCGGACAGTTGGCAGAACAATAATTTGGAAATGGCGAGAAACTTAGGTATAGATTTCAACCCTGAAATTTACCAGCAGCACATTGGGAACTGCCCAGAGAACTCAATCTGTCTCAACTTCACTTTCCCCACCTACAAATGGAGATGTTACTACGTTTCTTATGATGAGGATTACATGGCATGTGCAAGGACACCTACTAGCCAGCCCCTTGCTGGTCATGGGCACACCAGTGTTTATATAGTCTGGGTTTGAATCACTTTGTTTCATGAGTTTGTTATAGTTTTGTTGAGGGTCGATTTGCAAAAGTAATGATTTGGAAGAATGCAAAGCCAAACGTCTTCTACTTTTTTTTCTTAGTGCTTTTGGGCTATTAACATGCATGAACAACCCAGGGACTGTGATAATATCCCCTATCCAAATATACGAATTGGGGACACGAGATGATAACCGGCTCCCTCACAGACAGACTGCAGGCTGGCTGTCCTTTCCTGAGCCTGCCCAAGCAGATGGCAGTTCAAGGACGAGCCCTTTCCAGATCGAAGGACCTGTAGACTTCCAGCATTTACTTCTCATGTTTAATCTGCCACTTAATTTATGGGGAAACTATTTTTCATTCCCCCTGATAAATAAAAGGATAACAGTGAACCACACTTGTTGAGTCAGCATATTCATTCGTGGTGGTGAAGTGCTGCAGGCAGCCTGTGCACTCACCGGTGGGGACCTGGCTCAGTACATTGTGGCGCATCCATGTAGCAGAACACTCTGTGTCCACTTAAAGAATCTCGAGGACCGACCTGCAATGCTTTTGGCGTTGCTGGTGAGAAAAAGATAAGCCTTCCGTGGCACCCACTTGAGAACTGAGAGTGTAGGTAAGGACACCACTGCTGGGCGGAGTGTTTCCTTTGCTCTAGTGAAGAGGCCAGTTGGGGAATATAGGTCAATCTGTCTCGATTACTGGACTCATGCGCCTTTGTCAGTTTGAGAGCTGTTTCTTTGCAACCTATGACACGCAGTATTATCTGTGTGCAAACACCGAAAACCCTCAGGTTAGCGTTTTTCTGTTGCGCTCACTTTAAGGTAATGACCTGGCCTTGGGATGTATGATCACTTTTTGCTGTGGGTCTGTCTTCCTTCATAGACTTCAAGATCTTGGAGAGCGGGCACCCAGACCTAGTGCCAGCACAATTTCCAACATACAATAATAGGCCCTCAATGAATACGAACAAACTTGATTTTCCCTTCGTGGTTAACGGAA